TCCCTTGGTACCCTAAAATAATGTCCTCAATTTATATTTGGATGCCACACTTCTTTTGGACGATGCTGCATCTTCAATTACTGTGCTAGTAATTTCAGGGTTGCAGGAAGCATAAAAGATGAGAGGTTGCTAAAGCCAAAAGTACCAGCTAATTATATTGAGGAATGATGATTGTGCAATAGAACTGGCACTCTAAAAACACTATCACCAGGCTGCCCAGCTGTCTAATGACATTAACATGTAGGAAACTAAAACCTTAAATTGCATTACTCTAATAAGAAGGGTTCCATAAACATATACAATAAATGCAAAACTGAATATCACACATCTGCAAACCCTGACCATTGACTGATCTGTCTGATGCCACGGAACGTTCACAAATATTTTTTAACAGCTATGGGGAAAGGGCAATTCTTTACAAAACAGCATGCCATCTGTGAATAAATTCAAAGGTCTAATTGGCCAAAGGATGACAGCATACTGAGCATGGGGACACAGGGGGTTGTGTGGTGTTTCTAAGATGCAGGATAATATAAAGGATGTGGAACCAGGTAGGAAGAGAACCCGGGGGATAAAGGACCAGGTGATTAAAGGAAGTGAGAAACAGGAAGTGAAATGAGGAAAGAATGGTAAAGCAGGAGTGGGCAACCTGGAGCCCCTCAGCTGTCATTGGACTGCACGTCCCATCAAGCCTGCCCACCAGCTATGGTGGCTGGGGCTGATGAAAGTTCAGTGACATCTGGAGGGCTACAGGTTCTCCATCTCTGGGATGAAGGGATGGAGAAGACAGAAAGCAAAAGGGTAGGGTACCTGAGAACTTCAGGTACAAAAGGCCTATGAAGCAGGGTAACTAAAGCTATGGATGAGGATCCAGAGTAATCTGTTGTGCTCTTTGTTTTGCCCACCCATGGTTCCCACAGACTACATGGCCAAAATGGCTCTGAGGAGCAGAAACATCAGGGAATGCTAAAAATCAGGGGCAAGGAGTGGCAGCAGCAGATGTGCCAAAAACTGCAAGTGGGAGCTGAAGGAGACTAGGGAAAGGAATCACCGTATTCCTTTAGTAGAAGGGAAGAGCACTTGGGTTGGGAGACAATGAGGCTGAGAGCTGAGCAGGCAACAAACAGGAGCCTCAAGTAAGAGAGGGTTGAGAAGATAAAGGCCAAGCAATGAAGAGGATAGCACAAAGGGCAGAGCGGATGAAAGGAGATCCCAGGGGAAACTTTGCCTGGGATTGAAGCATGGGGAAATGGGAGGGAAAATACAGACAAGGCTGAGCTTTGTAGACCAGTAGCATTTGATACAACAGGGAGATAAGGACCTCCTTAATCCAGCGGTGGAACCCACACCAGCCACTTTGCATTGCTTCTCTGGCAGCGGTTGGGGGACATGTCCCTAGAAGTGCCCCTTGGATTTATCCATCTGAGGTGGCTGCCTCAGTCTGCCTCTCATAAGCAGGCCAACTCTGCCCTTATCCCTCTTTTGGTGACATGCTTCTATCACCAGAACACTGTTGAAGAGATTGAAGGGAAGTGGATAGTCATGAGGGACTCAGACACAACTCAGGTTAGCTCAGAAAGAAGCTGAGTTGCTTTCCAATTTGGAGGGGTGGTGGTGGTTTATTTCTAGGGTGGAGGAATCACCCCAACACAAGCCAGGATCAGGCTAGCTGGTTTCTAATTCTAGCTTCCTAGTGTCAGGTTGGGACGTGGGTGGTGCTGTGGTCTAAACCACAGAACCTAGGGCTTGCCAATCAGAAGGTCGGCGGTTCGAATCCCCATGACGGGGTGAGCTCCCATTGCTCGGTCCCTGCTCCTGCCAACCTAGCAGTTCGAAAGCACGTCAAAGTGCAAGTAGATAAATAGGTACTGCTCCGGCGGGAAGGTTTCCGTGCTCTGCTCTGGTTCACCAGAAGTGGCTTAGTCATGCTGGCCACATGACCTGGAAGCTGCACACCGGCTCCCTCGGCCAGTAAAGCAAGATGAGCGCCGCAACCCCAGAGTCGGCCACGACTGGACCTAATGGTCAGGGGTCCCTTTACCTTTACCTTTTAGTGTCAGGTTAGACAGCGAGATGTCCTCCAGATGTTGTTGGATTCCAGCTCTCTTCAGACCCATCCAGCAAGTCCAAAGGCCAGAGGTGATTACCATATTTTTCGCCCTATAGGACGCACTTTTTCCCCTCCAAAAATGAAGGGGAAATGTGTGTGCGTCCTATGGGGCGAATGCAGGCTTTCGCTGAAGCCTGGAGAGCGAGAGGCGTCGGTGCGCACCGACACCTCTCGCTCTCCAGGATCCACGAAGCTACCCGCAAGCCTTGCACACCTGGGGGGAGTTCCCCCGGGCACACAAGGCTTGCGGGCGGCAGCCTGCAGCGCGGAGCATGGGGTGCCCTCCGGAGGACGCCCGTGCTCGCGCAGGTGTCCGCAAGCCTTGCGCACCAGGGGAACTCCCCCGGGTGCGCAAGGCTTGCGGGCGGCAGTCTGCAGCGCGGAGCACGGGGCGCCCTTCGGAGGAAGCCCCGTGCTTCACGCAAGTGTCCGCAAGCCTTGCGCGCCCGGGGGAACTCCCCCCCCCCGGGCGCGCAAGGCGTGCGGGCGGCAGCCTGTAGCATGGAGCATGGGGCGCCCTCCGGAGGACGCCCCCTGCTTCGCGCAGGTGTCCGCAGCCTGCCGCCCGGCGCGTGGGGCGCCCTGAAGCAGAGCGCCCCTCGCGCCGGGCAGACATCGGCCAGCCCCACAAGCTCGGGGGACAGCGGGGAGGCACAGCGCCGCCATCCCACTGTTCCCCGACCTGGTTTTTTTGGGGGGGGGAATAAAGGAAAAAAAATTTTCCTTTATTTCCCCCCCAAAAAGTAGGTGCGTCCTATGGGACGGAGTGTCCTATGGGACGAAAAATATGGTAAATCCAGCAGCAATTGGAGAGAGCCACGTTGGCAACTGCTGTGACTATCGAGCCATGCAAGTCAAGGCAATATAAAGCTAGCAGTGGGAGCGAGCTGCAAATTCAGAAGGCAAGCAAGAATCTGCATTGTGCACACAAAGCAATCAGCACTGCGGCTGAAAGAAAGAGTACTTCAGAAAGGGCTATGAACAGAATGGAGCTGAATGTTGGAGAATAAACCTTTTAACAACTGTGTTTTTGTGATTGTCTGTAAACCCATGAGGGCAAAACAAGGGTGGTTTTGCTACTGTTCACGTCACCTTTAGTTATACGTCATCATCATTTAATTATATTCATTGCCTAACTCTCACCAGGAGGTTCCAGGGTGAATTACAACTTAATTAAAAACAACAACAACCTTAAATTAAAATTTAAAAAGTTAAAATAATCCAATGAACCTATAAATTTCTAGTGGATCATTTGCTCCCAGTGCTTATGGGCATATCTGGAACTTTGAGAAAATGCCATGGGCCCCAGTCACAAAATAGCTGTTGTGGAGCCATGGCATATACCAAATGTCTGGTTTGGGCATGTCAAAATGGCTTCAGCATTGGAGAGGCTAAGGCAGTGCAAGTAGGAACTAAATAAGAAGAGCAAACCATCTTTCTATTGCTATCATACATAGTACTGGGTTGCAGGTGTATATCTGCTTTGGACTGTGACCATTGTGTTTTGTGACATAGTCCACAGATAGATGCAAGGATTGGGATGGCATCTTCTGAAAAGTACTACTCTTTTTTTAAAAAATACTGCAGTTCTACTTTTAAAAAACTACCTTTTAAACAACACACGCAGGTCCCCACTATCCAGAAATGTGAAACCTCACTTATCCACACAAGGAATTGTTACCCAGATATCACTATACACACCACAGATTCAGATATCCAAACTGTTGGGCCTGTGTGTAGTAGTGTAAACAAATAAACATTGCTTTACTATTTTGTGCCTCACTGTTCTGTGGCAACAGTTTCAGCAAAAACCACAGTGGGAGCAAGGGAAAAGGAAGAGACATTGGACAAATAAGAGAGCATTTTTTCCTTCCTTGTTTGCCTTTTGCAAGGTTTCGTAGTGGTTTCCTGGATTTTCCCAAGTTTTTTGTCATTTTGGGGTCAACATTCTATTGTTTGGAACACATTAGAAATTTCCCCATAGGAATAAATGGAAATTGTGGGCTCATATGTGAACGTTCACCTAACAAATGATTTCCCAAGAACACATTGTGTTTGAATAGCAGTACCTGCATATAACACACCAAAAGAAATGAATTATTATTGAGGAGATACTGAGACCTTTTGCAGGACAGGAGGAAAACTTCATAAATACTTGAGGTGATTCTCATGAGCAACATACTTTGAAGCATTAATTGCATTTATAACCAGTTTTGTTTAGATCTTCTAAGAAAAATGAAGAGTCCATTCTATGTCTTGATGGTTTCATATTTCCTTTTGTTTTGACAGCTATAAATATGTTGCAACTAGACGTGGCTAAGCTTGTGAGTACTCCCTCTAAACTCAAGCCTAGCTAATATTTACGTAGCAGTTATAACAAGGTCCACCCATTGACCATATGCTACGTTGCTGGGAAAATAAAAGCTTAAGGTAAACACATTTTTGCTTGCTGAGCAGACTTTCAGTCATACTTACACAAGCCGCAGTAATGAATCTGAAAATGTCAGAGATATATATATATATATATATATATATATATATATATATATATATACATACATACACACACACACACACATATAGTCAAGATATAAACCGACTTGAAAAGAGAGTACAGCTTAGCAGCCAAAGAATTGAAGAAAATGTTATTAGAAAGCATTTGCTACCTTTTTCATTAAAGTGCTATGATTATAAAGTGCTATGATTCTAAAAACACTTACATGTAAACTAGCATCAGCTATGAGGAACTGCTAACTGGATAATATAAGCTCTTCCTTCAAGTCTTTCATAAGCTGAAGGGTCCTATGCTGATATTCCCTGCCTGAAGGGGAGAGGTTGGCCATTGTGATTTCACACTGATGTTGTGATCATAATGCCCACAGCTTTAAACAGAAAGTGCCCTAGATCAACCGGAGAGGAGTTTCTTCTCCTTCTCTCTCTCTCTCTCTCTCTCTCTCTCTCTCAATCTTCCATCCTCTCAAATGTAAATTTCACATCTCATTGGGCAATGGACGAGGCCCACTGCTCACCAGTGGATGTTTGAACTGCCCTCTGAGTCTTGCTTGACCACTGGCAAGGTTGTCAGTATGGACAACCATATGGACTTGCCTGCCTATCCTTTCTGTAACAAAGAGTGCTTTCACATAGCTGGGACTGCACCTGAATTTTCCTCGCAGGCTAGTGAGGCACTCCCTCAGAGAAGAAAGGCTCGGCCAGCAAAAAACTGTAGACCCCTGGAGCATGGTGACAACCTCTGGCACTGGGTGCTAGCATAATACGCTTTTCCCAATGGTAACTGCTCTTCTGCCAGAGTGCTGATTTATTGGGTTGGGTGGTAAACTGATACAGTGGTACCTTGGGTTAAGAACTTAAGTCATTCTGGAGGTCTGTTCTTAACGTGAAACTGTTCTTAACCCAATGTACCACTTTAGCTAATGGGGCCTCCCACCGCCGCGCAATTTCTGTTCTTATCCTGAAGCAAAGTTCTTAACCTGAGGTACTATTTCTGGGTTAGCGGAGCCTGTAACCTGAAGCATCTGTAACCTGAAGCATTTGTAACCTGAGGTACCATTGTATTCTCTACAGACATCTTGAGAACATAATGTAGGAGGGCATCCTATCTCCATGATTTCATAGGATTGCAGAGTTGGAAGTAACTGTGTGGATCAACTAGTCCACCCCTCTGCAATGTAGGAATCTTTTTGCCCAATGTGGGACTTGAACCCACAACCCTGAGGTTAAGAGTCTCAGACTCTACCAGCTGAGCTATCCTATCTCTGAGCATGAGTGAGTCTGGAACTCAATGCGGGAGATGTAAATGGTGGAAAAAGTCAGAGTGCATTCTTAGAAAAGCACAAATGAACACATGCTGATATTTTCCAGAACGGGTAATTTAGGTTTTTGGCAGGAGCGTGGAATGAATCCCGTCAGCAATGCCAGTAAATACCAATAACAATATCATTGCTATATATCAGGAGCACAGTATATGCTATAAAACACCTGGCTCAGGGTTTATGGATGATACCATCGACAGTTGCAATTAACGCTGCTATGCCTAACTGTGGGCTACAGTATAATCATAATGCTATAATTCATGGCTGGAAACTCTAGAGGGTCTTCAATCTGGTCCAGGCAAGTAATTGAATTTGGTATCTCAAAGGTCAGTTGGAAACTGAGAATCACTACAAGTGAGAATTATGAGCTGGAAGCATCAGACGGCGCTTACATTTTCAGCTTCGCATATATTGAGGGTTTCTCTTGTTGTCCCTCCAGGAGGTAAACTTAATAATGCAAGCAGGAAGCACCATGGGAAGAAAGGCTGTTTGTGTTTGCTTAATGTGTCTTTTCAAGCTGGGCGTTCTGGGATGTTTTGCTTATGCAGAGAGCAAAAGGGGAAGAAAAATGGACCAAGGTCATCCCAATCAGCCAGAAAAATGCATACCCTCCAACATTTCTCCGATGAAAATAGGGACGTCCCATCCCATAATGATAATTTTACTATTTATACCCCACACATCTTATTGGTTTGCCCCAGCCTCCCTGGGCAACTTCCAACATATAAAAAACATTAAACATTTTTTTAAAAAATCTTCCCTATACAGCATTGCCTTCAGATGGCTCTGGGGTTGGATAACTCCATACCCTCCAACATTTCTCCAGTAAAAATAGGGACAAAGTGAGACATTGCAGGATCAAATCAGAAACCGGGACGGCTTCTCTAAATCAGGGACATCCCTGGAAAATATTAACACTTGGAGGGTCTGAAAATGGATTCAGGGCAGTTTCATGCAACTTGTGGTTTTTTAGTGGAGCTGATTTAGGGTCCATCTGCTTCACTTCCAATCATATCATTTTTAACTTTTGATTTCAGGCAGAGGTGACGCTGTTTAACCCTCCCCGTGGGTGTGATTGCCTCAGGCTGTAGTTAAACTTAGGGAGAAAGGTCCAACTGCAATTTTCATTTTCATTGTGGGTTGTGGGTGTGTTAAACCTCCCCAGCAGTGCATGGATTCCCAATGAACATCACTCCCATGTGTGCAATTAAATAAAACGTGAAAATGTGATTACAAGCAGCACAGTTAGTGTCACCTGCAGACAGGCCCTCAGCAAGGAAAGCAGAAAGGAGTTTGCACCTTTGCTGTTACAGTCACAACTTGTTTTCCTTCCTAGTGGCAGACAAGCAAGCTCACTCTTGAAAATGTTACTCTACAACCAACTTGCTCCTGTCCAACAATGGTGCAGAAAACAGTTGCTCATACAGAACTCCATTGACAATGCAAACCTCCACATGTCTACTTGGAAGTAAGTCGCCTTTAGTTCCATGGGGTTCAGTTCCCAAGGAAGTACCAGATGTAGGATTGCAGAGTTATTGTCCGATTTCCTTTGGGGACACCGAGTACAGTGGTACCTCGGGTTACATACGCTTCAGGTTACATACGCTTCAGGTTACAGACTCCACTAACCCAGAAATAGTGCTTCAGGTTAAGAACTTTGCTTCAGGATGAGAACAGAAATCGTGCTCCAGCGGCGCAGCAGCAGCAGGAGGCCCCATTAGTTATAGTGGTGCTTCAGGTTAAGAACAGTTTCAGGTTAAGTACGGACCTCCGGAACGAATTAAGTACTTAACCCGAGGTACCACTGTACTTGGAATTTTGATTAAGCGAACTTGAAAAGAGAGGTTGAGCCATTCAATTGCTTCTCCATTATTTCCTCAGGGGTAAGTTAAACCAACACTCTAAAAAGTGTCGCTGCCTAAATGTGTTTTTGTTGCTGCTACTTCGCGCCAAATGCCGAGGGATTGGATGGAGCTGGAAGAGAGTTGGACAGCAGGCAAATGTGGGAGTATAAAATGTTGGGTAAAATGTGGGATGGAAGAAAAAGGAAGGGGTGAAAACAGCTTTAGTTTTTCCAAGGTGTGGGTCAATAATCGTGCTTATTGGCTAAATTTAGCAAGGGAGTCATGGTGGGGGAATGGATTTATGGCTACATTCTGGGTTCTTTTTTTTCTTCCAATATGTTATATAGAACTTCATCTACCAGTGCAGGCCCTGTTAGATGAGCTTGAGAAGATGCTGCCCCAGCAAAGACTTAGCTCTCTGAAGCCTTAAAGAGTCTGGCAGGGCTTCACCGCCAGGGATTGCCGTTTGCAGTATTTAAAGGGCCTGTAGTCAATAATAATAATAATAATAATAATAATAATAATAATAACAATTTATTATTTATACCCCGCCCATCTGGATGGGTTTCCCTAGCCACTCTGGACGGCTCCCAACAGGATATTATAAACATGATAAAACATCAAACATTCAAAACTTCCCTAAACAAGGGCTGCCTTCTAAAAGTCAGGTAGTTGTTTATTTCCTTGACATCTGATGGGAGGGCGTTCCACAGGGCAGGTGCCACTACTGAGAAGGCCCTCTGCCTGGTTCCCTGTAGCTTCACTTTTCACAAGGAGGGAACCGCCAGAAGGCCCTCGGAGCTGGACCTCAGTGTCCAGGCAGAACAATGGGGGTGGAGAGGCTCCTTCAGGTATACTGGGCCGAGGCCATTTAGGGCTTTAAAGGTCAGCACCAACACTTTGTATTGTGCTCGGAAATGTACCAGGAGCCAATGTAGGTCTTTCAGGCCCAATGTTATGTGGTCTTGGCGGCCACTCCCAGTCACCAGTCTAGCTGCCACATTCTGGTGAATGCGCATTCTGCAACTGAATATCCCTGCACAATTATAGAGCAGGAGAGACTTCAGGTCAGGGACAGAGAGCATATGGTGCTCTTGATGTTTGCTGGACTACAAATCCCATCATTCCTGGCTAGCTGCTGTGCTGGCGGAGGAGGATGGGGTTTGGAGTTCCACAGTATCTGGAAGACTGTGTGTTTCCCACCCCTGCTCTAGGGGAATCAACATCAGACTCCAAGGATGAGGGGAAAGCCATGTCCTCAGACCAGGCAAGTGGTGCAACATCTGACCAGAGTCCTCTTCAAGCCAGCACTGGGACCCTGAGGCAGGAGATATAACAATGTCCGACTATCAATGAAACTTTCAGGGACAGGATTCATCTTCTATGTACAAGCTCTGCAACAAACAGGGACACTTGATAACTTGTTATTTAACTACAGTCATAGTTAATATGGGTTTAAGGACAATACATGCATGCCTGAATAGAAATAGCTGGCGAAGATTCAGTCAGTTCCAGCTACAGCGGATGTCACATTGCAATGCGACAGGGCTTTCAGATGACATATGAGTCACCGAGCCTGTGAAAGAAAAGGGTCCGGCAAGAAAATAGAAGAGGATAATGTCAACAAGAGCACCTGGAAGGCCAAGGAACATGTCATGATAACCTTATAAATTGATTAGTACAACTGAGACTTGGTGGGACAACTCCCTGGCTTGGAACGAAGCAATTGAAGGGCACAATCTCTTCAAAAAGATTAAAGTTAATGGTAAAGGAGGGGGTTTAATGATATTTGTCAAATGTGTACACCTGCGCGGAAATTCAAGATAGTAAACAAGTCAGTCCAGTGGAGAACATGTGGGTAAAAATAAAGTCGGCTTCAGCTGTGGAAATAGCAGGATGCTTTGAACTACTGTCCAAGTAAGAGTTCTGAGGCTTTTCCTGCAACTCCTGCAGGGCTGACCCACCCATGAGGCAAGCTGAGGCAACTGCCCCAGGTGGCAGGATCTACAGGGGCAGCAGATTCTGATGTAGATCTTTACCCCCCCCCACACACACCTTGTTCCTGATTTAGATATTCATTCATTGCTTCTTCCCTGCTGAGGAGGGGAGTGCCATTTTGTGGGTTGTCTCAGGTGCCAGAATGTCTTGAGCCAGCCCTGAAATCCTGGCACCAAAGCAGAGCACTGTTGGAAGCCAATGGAAAGTGTCTGATTGAAGGTGGAATCCCACAATGTGCTTCTGCAGAAGGATGGGAAACTGGCATGTTGAATACATTTCTTCCGCCTACGCGCCAGTTTGTTGTCAGATGGCTGTAACACCGTTTGAGCTCTTGTTGAGCATCAAGCCTGGAGAGGGAGATGTGCGAAAAAATCCCACAGCCCACAAAGTTGGCACTCGTGAGTTCATCTGCGCTTATTCAGAACACACTGTTTATGTTGCTGTTGCAGTCCCATCTGTGGTGGCTGAAAAGTGAAGCTATTTGAGTCTATGGCAGTTTTAAAGGCATAAATAAAAGCTGTGCTTTTTATTATGATCGTTGATCCTGTCTGTTTCCTTGAGGCAGCCTTTGGATGTCTAACTTGGAGAAACTGCCACAAAGAAGCCCAGTTGGGATAAGACGTCACTTTAGGACAGCCCCTTGAACGGATGGATAAGCCACTCCACAGAACCAGGAGGACTTTGAGTTCATGCTCCTTCATAGCTTCAGGGGTCATTTACCTTTTACCTTACCATATATTCAGAATGATTGTCAGGAAAAGGAAACCTGAAAAGCTACAGTGCAGGTGTGGAAATGCTTCTACGTTTCCAAGGACAATTCAAAGTGCTGGTGCTGACCTTTAAAGCCCCAAATGGCCTCAGCTCAGTATACCTGAAGGAGGGTCTCCATCTCCATCATCCTGCCTGGACATTGAGGTCCTCCTCCGAGGGCCTTCTCACAGTTCCTGCACTGTGAGAAGTGAAGTTACAGGGAAGCAGGCAGAGAAGTTACAGGGAAGCAGGCAGAGAGCCTTCTTGGCAGTGGTACCCTCCCTGTGGAACGCCCTCCCACCAGTAAACAACTCTACACAACTTTTAAAAAACGTCTAAAGGTAGCCCTGTATTGGGAAGTTTTTAAATTTTGATGTTTTATTATATTTTTGTATGTGCTGAAAGCTGCCCAGAGTGGATGGAGAAACCCAGCCAAATGGGCAGGGTATTATTATTACTAGTCTATAAAGGAATTTTTGGACCTGCTGTGTACTATCAGCTATCCCTCCCTGCTCTCTAAAACTTCTATACATGCTCTTTTCCTTCTCAGGTCAGCAACAGAGCTTTGGTTGACCTTAAAGCCCCTTCAGATGTATGTAAACTGTACAGCTCTGACTACCAGAATACTTCACTGTTTTGTTCTACAATCACACCAACCCATTTACATCTGGAATACAGAATATGTGGGTCTCCAGCTCTTGAAGGACTCCAACCTTCATCAGTCTCAGCCCATATGGCCAGTTGTCACTTTACTTTTCTCTGAGTAAACATGCATGATTTCTGGCCTTAAGTCTGACTCAACTCTTTGCGGTCTTATGCTTTTCAGCTCCTGGCCTAGAGGAATCCGGAGCCTAAAGGAGCTGCAATGCAGGGAGAATTTAGCCAGGTAGGATTTCACCAGCAGCACCGTCAATGAGCTTCAATGTCAAGAAAATATGCTGGTCCTGCTGAATCTCTGCCGGCCATGAAGCCACAAACGGATGCTCCTCTGACTTCAAGGGCAATTCTACTGGTGGGCAGAAGGTGAAACACTAAGTTTACTTTCAGTTGGAAAAGCCCTATATTTTTAACATTTATCTCCATGTGAGAAGCAATGACAAATCTCTCTTTCGGGAAGACAAAGAGAAAACTTACAACGGGACATGCTGTGATGTAATGCAAAGCCATGTGAAATTGTATAGCAGGATACGAATTCTGTGGCCCTCTAGACTACAATTCCCAGCAGCCCCTTGATCATTGGCTGATGGTTGGGAGTCCAAACACATCTGCAGAGCCACCACCTTTGTTACACACAGAGTAAGAGTCAGACCTCTATCAATTCATTAGCCGTTCAATTATGCTTCAGCGCAATGACTGGACTCCCATTAACTTGTAGTGGATGTCCTCCAAAATTAGACATCTAATCTTGGCGATAATCTCCCTGGCTAGTCCTCCTCGGTCTGTGCTTCATACCACCAAATAATAATAATAATTATTATTATTATTATTCAGGCACACTAACAAAGAAAGTGATCTGAAGCAAAGTTGATTGAAAGTACATTGCACTGAAATACTACACTTGCAATCCAGGGCGGGCCCAAGAAGCAAACCACAAAATGGTACGGGAGGGGGCAGGTGAGTGGAGATCTACATCAGGAACAAGAGGGGAACAGGGATCTAAATCAGGAACAAAGGGGAGGGAATCAAATCAACCTTATCTGACATGTGAAGGTGGGTGCAGAGCCCAGGAAACTCCAGAAGGCAGCCCCCGCCATTTCCTCCCTAGGGGTAGGAGGAGAATAACAGTGCCTCCTATTCGCAGAGAGACTGCTGTAGAGGTAGCATTGCTGAGGAGGTGGAAGCTCTGGCTTCCAATGAGTGTTTCACAGCCATTTCTGCCACTGTGGTGGCAGCTGCAGCAGGCAATTGATTCCTTGGAGGCCAGATCTGTTGCCCGTGTGGTTCCTGCTGCCTGAGACAGTTGCCTCACCTTGCCTCACAGGTGGAAGAGGCCCTGCTTAAATCAGTGTGACATAGATCCCCATTTTTACATATACAGCCATACCTCGTTTGTCGAATGTAATCAGTTCCAGAAGTCTGTTCGACTTCCGAAAATGTTCAACAACCAAGGCGCAGCTTCCTATTGGCTGAAGGAGCTTCCCGCACTCAATAGGAAGCCGTGGAAGCCACGTTGGACATTCGGTTTCCAAATAACGTTCGCAAACCGGAACACCGGAGCCAAAATGTTTGCGTCACAAGGTGTTCAGGATCCAAGGTACGACTATATCTACATAAAAGGAATTCAGTCAGAAAGCCCATAAAACTCAATGGGCGTTACCAAGTAAGCATGGTTAGGACTGCAGCCTGGGACTGCTAACCTTTGAATGCAACCAGACTTAGACATGTATAGAATTGCCCTGTTAATCTTGAAAGAGAAATGATCATGCTCCTCTGAATTCTAAGAGTGCTACAAAGAGGTACCATTCACAGGGGCAGCGCTGAAATTTTACTTGGATCAATAGAGTTATATACTGAAATCAGATCTCAATATCTATCACAGTTTGGCTAAGCTTCCCCTAATCACTAAATCTCAGTAATGCATAATACCACTTATCTTTCTTTCCCATGGGAAACAGACTTGTCACAGGCGTCAGAATGAAAACATATCAGGGTTTTCCCGGAAGATTTGCATTAAGGCAGAATGAAAGGTTTGTGAAACTTGTCATCACATTTATTGAAAGCAGAAACACAATACGTTGCCATCAAGTGTTTGGCAGGAGCTGCAGTTTCACAGTCCTGGAAAGTGGCAGTGAGTGGAATTTGTGAAAGAGGTTCCTAGAAATACTCCACATCCCCACTGAGCAAATTCGTTTGGTAGATACACTCTAGTTCCTTGGCAGAGAAATGAAACAGAGAAAAGTGCTTGGGATTCAACCAGTTTCTGCCATAATGGGATGTGGAAGACTTTGGAGGCAATCAGTAGTTTTTCTTAATGTGTCTGGACACAAGAACATGTGTACTTTTGAGACAATGGCAGAAAGTTCAGATGTCCCATCCTGCTGCTGATTTACTATACTTTAGATCATTTTAGATGCATCCCATTCAACAGGGCCAGCCTGTTCAGGAGGCAGCTGCCTCAGGTGGCAAAATCCGAGGGGTGCCTTCATCGGTGTGTTGCACCGCTGCCACCAGAGAAGCAAGGAGAAGTGACTGCAGGGGCCTCCAGCAAAATCTCACAGGGCTCTCCTGAGATCTCCCCAGAAGCCACAGCTGTGAGACCCTCATAAACGAGGCTCTGATGAGGGGTGGCAAGGGTGGCATGCAAGCAGGGTGGTGTGAGGAACGATAATGTTGCTTTTCCACCCAAAAGCCAAAATGTTGCAACTGCTAGATAACCGCAGACAGCACAGGCTTGCTTACACTTAAATTTAGAACAGCTTAGGGTTAGGATTCTCACAGATAGGACAGCTTGCAGCTGGAATACAGTTTATTTGTATGCTCCAGCAGGTATAGAACTCATTTACACATGTTAGTGGTACGATGTGGTTTTGTCTCTTGAGTCAATGTGTAAAAGCATAGAAACCAAATGGACCAAATAAGGAGAAAGGTGGTGGTCGTCGAAATCAGAGTAATGGGAGATGTCAACAAAGGCGGGGATTTTAGTTGGGAAATTAGGCAGTCGTGATAGGCTGTAAACCTTGCAGTACCCAGCCAATGGGGAGACAAGGGAGGGAACCTGCGCTTCAGGTGTAGGGAATAGAAGCTTATGCTTTGTCAATTTTGGGTGTGCCTACTCTAGACACTGTTCTCGAAGCTACCAACATGCGTTTGACCAAACTGCGGGAGGCAGTGGAAGACAGGAGTGCCTGGCGTGCTCTGGTCCATGGGGTCACAAAGAGTCGGACACGACTAAACGACAACAACAACAACTCTAGACACATGGGATGTAGGTGGCACTGTGGGTTAAACCACAGAGCCTAGGGCTTGCTGATCAGAAGATCAGCGGTTCAAATCCCCGTGATGGGGTGAGCTCCCGTTGCTCAGTCCCTGCTCCTGCCAACCTAGCAGTTCGAAAGCAAATCAAAGTGCAAGTAGATAAATAGGCGGGAAGGTAAACGGCGTTTTCGTGCGCTGCTCTGGTTCTCCAGAAGCGGCTTAGTCATGCTGGCCACATGACCCGGAAGCTGTACGCCGGCTCCCTCGGCCAATAAAGCGAGATGAGCACTGCAACCACAGAGTCGGTCACAACTAGACCAGGTCAGGGGTCTTTTTACCTTTACCTTTACTCAAGACACCGGTTCTTGCAAGAACATATTGTATTCAAGAAACTTTGCTGCTTCACCAATTTTGTTCAGATTGTATTTTAAGGAGTGGGATTAAGGGTCTTAGGACACACTTTTTATATCTTACAGGTGGCATCTTCCCATTACACCTCACACAGTGAAACAGGACAGGACACCCCGGCCATTCAACCGGAATCTGCTTGACACAACAGGAAAGAGTCAAATACTTGGCTTATCTAGCATCTGTCTCAAGAGACCTCCAGGTGTTGCTGGACATCTCATTCTTACCAGACCCAGGCAGCATCGCCTATTTTTAGGCATGATGGCCCATCAACATCTGAAGTCAGGGCACAGGTTCCCCAACCCTGATCTATCTAATTAAACTTCACCAGATGAATCTAATTAGCCCTGAACCGACAGTTCCAATAGTCATCAGCCCCCATTGTATACCCTTTCTGTAAGGACAATAGAAAGGTTGGCCAACAAAGTTCCCCACCTACCCTGCTGTCTCCTGAGAAAAGCACATTGTAAATATGTAAGTTTAAAACCACAGCAGTTCAGGCTTCTCCCTCTTCTGCAAACCTAATAAACAATTCATTTCTGGGGAAGAACTGCAACACAAACATATTGGGAGCGGCCTTTAAACGTAAGACCCACCCTAAGCAAACTCAAGTGCGGTTACCTTTTTAAAACTACTCTGATGACAGAGGGGCTTGTCAAGTAGCACAAAAGACATGTATTTGAGAACTAGCTCAAGATCAGATGATACATCATTTATTCAAAAGACAGCATACAATGCAACACACACAGAGAGAGACAATGAAGGCTGAAGACAAGGCCTAGCAATTCTGGCACAGTACGAAAGGGGAGCCCATTTTGATTTACTCCATGAGCAGATGATTGTCAGATGAAAGGTCAAGATTTTCATCATAATGGCTTTATACAAATCTATTATACTCAAAAGACACTAGGAGTAATACTCTACACAGTTCTGGTTGCTGTATCCCGAAAAGGAGTTTGTAGAGTTGAAAAGGGTTTGAAAAGGGCAACCAAAGTGATAATGGGGCCAGAACATCTCTCCTGTGCAGAAAGATTTACAACGTTTGGGACCGTTTAGTTTGGGGGAAAGTGAGTAAGAGAGCAGAGGGGGGAGCATGAAGGAAGTGTAAAAAAGAAGGCATGGAAAGGAGACAGTGAACATACCGTAGTTCCCCTCTTTCTCTCATAATATTAGAAACAGAGCCGGTCAGTGAAGATGAATGTTGGACGATTCAGGCCAGAAGGACTTTTTCACATTTGTTGTTGTTGTTTAGTCATGTCTGACTCTTCATGACCCCCTGGACCAGAGCACGCCAGGCACTCCTGTCTTCCACTGCCTCCTGCAGTTTCGTCAAACTCATGCTGGTAGCTTCGAGAACACTCTCCAACCATCTTGTCCTCTGTCGTCCCCTTCTCCTTGTGCCCTCCATCTTTCCCAACATCAGGGTCTTTTCCAGGAAGTCTTCTCTTCTCATGAGGTGGCCAAAGTATTGGAGTCTCAGCTTCAGGATCTGTCCTTCCAGTGAGCATTCAGGGCTGATTTCCTTAAGAATAGATAGGTTTGATCTTCTTGCAGTCCATGGGACTCTCAAGAGTCTCCTCCGGCACATGGTTCAACTATGCAATTCACTATCACTAAATGAAGTGAGGTCCACTAATTTGGGCACTTTTGAAAGAGAATTGGACAAATTCATGGAGGTTGGGGCTATCAATGGCTACTACATTTGATGGCTATGTTCTTCCTCTTGTGTCAAAGGCAGTATGGCTCTGAATATCAGCTTGCTTGGAATAACAAGCAACAATAGTGCTGTTGCATTCATGTCCCCTAGGCCAGGGGTCAGCAAACTTTTTCGGCAGGGGGCCTGAAATATACTCAGAGTCGCAAAGTGATTTCATGCTCTTTATTCAGCTCATAGTGGTGAGGAGGAATCAATAGAAGTCCCCTCACAGTATCTGCTTTATATACATTATTTACACAATGTGCTGCACATGATTGGCTAATTCCGGAATTCTACTGTAAGCCAATCAGGTTGTGGATTCACTTCTATCTGGAGCAGGATTGGGTGGTTCCTGCCAACCAATCATACTGCTGCATTGTTCTAGGACCAATCAGACTGCTGCATTCTGAATCCTATTGTTCTAGGACCAATCAGACTGCTGCAGTTTGGATCCTATTCAACTCAGTACATAACAGGGCCGGTCCACTGTCCTTCAGACCTGGGGGGGGGGGGGGCTAGACTATATTTTGGGGAAAAAAATGAACGAATTCCTATGCCCCACAAATAACCCAGAGACGCATTTTAAATAAAAGGACACTTTCTACTCATGTAAAAACATGCTGATTCACGGTCCACCGGCCGGATTGAGAAGGCGATTGGGCCTGATCCAGCCCCCGGGCCTTAGTTTGCCTAATAATAATAATAATAATAATAATAATAATTTTTTAATATCTCGCCCTCCCCAACTGAAGCCGGGCTCAGAGCAGCTAACAACAATACCCATGCCCTAGGCAAACTTGGATAGCTCAGTTGGTTAGAGCATGGCGTTGATAACCCCAGGGTTGCAGGTTCGATCTCCATATGGGACAGCTGTATATTCTTGCATTGGAGGGGATGGATTAGATGATCCTCAGGGTCCCTTCCAACTCTACAATTCTATGTTTCTAAGAAATATGGTTGGCCACTGTGAGAACAGGTTGCTAGATTAGATGGGCCTTTGGCCTGGCTGAACAGGGATTCTTTCTCATTCTTATGAGAGCAAACTGAGGATGTCATTCTAGTTCAACCCATTCTTGGAGGCTACTTTCTTTTTTAAATGGAGCCCCCTCTCTCGTAAACACCTGCAAGACTAGGGAAAGGACATAACAGTTTATTTCCAATCAATGTCCATTTCACATATTTTCATTCGTAAATACATTCTGTCCTGTTTCAACATTATTATGCTCTAATCCCAGTTCACAGAAATCGAATTATTCAAGTCTCCCTAATGCACACATTTACTAAATCCCTTACATCCTCCGGGGAAGTATTATAAATGAACTTGTGGTTGAACAGTTTGGGGCTGAGCTGAGATCATGATTCATTATGGGTGCCCAGTCAACCAAGAACTTCACACTGACTTTATTTAATTTCTACATCACCGTTCTGTCTGAAATAGAGTCCAGGGCAGTTAATAAATGTCAGAAAAGAGTCAAACGCAAAAACCTTAGCACGCATACACATCAAACCATAAAGTATGTACAGTGGTACCTCGGGTTACATACGCTTCAGGTTACAGACTCCGCTAACCCAGAAATAGTACCTTGGGTTAAGAACTTTGCTTCCGGATGAGAACAGAAATAGCTAAAGTGGTACCTCAGGTTAAGAACAGTTTCAGGTTAAGAACGGACGTCCGGAATGAATTAAGTACTTAACCCGAGGTACCACTTTACAACCGTTAGAAACAAGTACCACCTCTATAGAATAATAAAACTTGGCAGGATAGGGATGTTTAAAATTGCTGCTAATGCAAGAGAAGAGAAAGGGTTGTAATACTGAAATTCCTATGCACACATTCCAAAGGCAACGTCTCATTGTCCTCAGTGGGAATTGTATATACAAAGCAAATATGGAGAGTGGTTATAAACATCAACAGAAAAGGTTACCTCTCTTTAAAGCTCATCCAAAGCACGTTCTTTCCCTTGAAGAATTCTTGGCACTGCAGTTTACTTCTCTCAGAGTTACAGCTCCCAGAAACCCTTAGCAAACTAAGGACTTGAGTTTCTTACAGTGTCCACATGTGCCTCAAATGTGATTTAAACATACAGCAGGTGCACAGCCTAACTCACCTGAAACCTATCAGAGGGGGAACATAACCACTTTTTCCAGCAGTGATGGATATTTTAAAGTTATGCAGAGCAGAGGGGGCTATCCTTTTTTTGAGCAGCCTTCACCTTTGACCAACCCTCTGGGGGCTGTAGGGCAGTGGTAGAATCATAGAATCATAGAGTGGATCGAAACACTGGGGTGTGTGTGCTATAAATAAGTCAGAAATTAAATCATTGTAGAAAAAATCCCTATGGAAAATCGTGTTTTTCAAATTTCCTGCTCTCTGACGCCATCTGGTGTTGCATGTTTATTTAGTTTCTTTACTAATGTAGCTGAGTTTATAGAATTGTAGAGTTGGAAGGGTCCTCTAGTCCAATCCCCTTCAATACAGCAATCTGTTGCCCAGCATGGGGCTTGAACCCACAACCCTAAGTCTCATGCTCTATCAACTGAGCTATCCCAGGTGGAGGTGACCAGAAGTGGGTGTGTCCACTCCATATCATTTGGCAATTTCTAATGGTTTCTTGCAGGGATGGGGAGTAGGGCTGGGCAATATCTGGTTTTCAACATCACAATATATTGTGATATATCACAATGTCTGAAATAGGGATGGAACTACAGTGGTGCCCCGCAAGACGAACGCCTCGCAAGACGAAAAACTCGCAAGACGAAAGGTTTTTTCGTTTTCGAGTTGCTTCGCAAGACGAATGTCCCTATGGGCTTGCTTCGCATGGCGAAAACGTCTGGCACGTTTGTTTCGTTTTGCGTAAAACCGTTAAATCCCTGGGTGCATTGCTTGACGTGGTGCAGTTGCGACTTGACGTCGAGGAGCAACACAGTGCACGCGGTGGGGTGGCCTTTCTGTGCTTTTCAAAGAGTTTGCTGTATTTTGAAGCTTTTCCAAAACTTCTTCTACAGCTGTTTGGTAAGTTGAACTTTTAAAACTTTTTTTGGGTTTTTGGGATTTTGGGTTGGGGTGTTTAGAATTCAAGGACTTGGTGTTGGGGAGAGGTTTGCAAGAATCTGGGAGCTTGTGTGGTTTTTTCTGAATTTTTATGATTTTCTGTGACCATTGGGCCATGTTTTTTTTTTTAAAAAAAAAATCTGGCTTTGAATTTTTGAATTTCTGTGTGCTGGGTGGATGGGGGAACAGCTGGGGAGGTGTTTGCAAGAATCTGGGAGCTTGTGTGCTTTTTTTTGAATTTTTATGATTTTTTGTGACCATTGGGCCATGTTGTTGTTTTTTGAAAAAAGTTTCTGGGTTTTAAATTTCTGTGTGCTGGGTGGATGGGGGAACAGCTGGGGAGGTGTTTGCAAGAATCTGGGAGCTTGTGTGCTTATGTTTGAATTTTTATGATTTTGGTGTGTCCATTGGGCCATGTTGTTTTTTTTGAAAAAAGTTTCTGGGTTTTAAATTTCTGTGTGCTGGGTGGATGGGGGAACAGCTGGGGAGGTGTTTGCAAGAATCTGGGAGCTTGTGTGCTTTTTTTTTAATTTTTATGATTTTTTGTGACCATTGGGCCATGTTGTTTTTTTTTTGAAAAAAGTTTCTGGGTTTTAAATTTCTGTGTGCTGGGTGGATGGGGGAACAGCTGGGGAGGGGTTTGCAAGAATCTGGGAGCTTGTGTGCTTTTTTTTGAATTTTTATGATTTTTTTGTGACCATTGGGCCATGTTGTTGTTTTTTGAAAAAAGTTTCTGGGTTTTAAATTTCTGTGTGCTGGGTGGATGGGGGAACAGCTGGGGAGGGGTTTGCAAGAATCTGGGAGCTTGTGTTCTTTTTATTTAATTTATATGATTTTTGTGACCATTGGGCCATGTTGTTGTTTTTTGAAAAAGTTTCTGGGTTTTAAATTTCTGTGTGCTGGGTGGCTGGGGGAACAGCTGGGGAGGGGTTTGCAAGAATCTGGGAGCTTGTGTGCTTTTTTGAATTTTTATGGTTTTCTGTAACCATTGGGCCATGTTGTTTTTTTTGAAAAAGTTTCTGGGTTTTGAATTTCTGTGTGCTGGGTGGCTGGGGGAACAGCTGGGGAGGGGTTTGCAAGAATCTGGGAGCTTGTGTGCTTTTTTGAATTTTTATGGTTTTCTGTAACCATTGGGCCATGTTGTTTTTTTTTGAAAAAGTTTCTGGGTTTTGAATTTCTGTGTGCTGGGTGGCTGGGGGAACAGCTGGGGAGGGGTTTGCAGGAATCTGGGAGCTTGTGTGCGTTTTTGAATTTTTATGGTTTTCTGTAACCATTGGGCCATGTGTTTTTTTAAAAAGTTTCTGGGTTTTGAATTTCTGTGTGCTGGGTGGCTGGGGGAACAGTTGAGGAGGGGTTTGCAACAGTTGGGGAGGGGTTTGCAACAGTTGGGGAGGGGCTCGGAACAGTTGAGGTTTTTGAAGACTTTGGTGATTTTTAAAGCTTTCCCAAAATTTTTTTTGCAGCCATTTGAGGATTTTGAAGACTTGGGGGATGTGCAGCCCTGTCGTAAGTTAAACTTTTAAAAGTTTTTTGGGGGTTGTGGATGTGGGGTTGGGTGTGTGGAATTCAAGGACTTGGTTGTGGGTTTGAATTGCTGATTTTTTTTTCTTTTCTGAGTTTTACAAAGGTAACAGCTGTGCTGCCATGGGACCCAAGAAGACTGCTGCTGCTGCGGAGGCCGGCGAGAGGAAGAAGGAGAAGGTGACGCTGGAGATGAAGAAGGAGATCATCCGGAAGCACGACGGTGGAATGCGTGTGACGGACCTCGCCAGGGAGTACGGCAGGAACCCATCGACCATCGGGACCATCCTGAAGATGAGGGAGAAGATCCTTGCGACTGATGCAGCCAAGGGAGTCACCAGGATCGTGAAGAACCGCCCAGCTGTTCTGGAGGAGGTCGAGAAGTTGCTCCTCATCTGGATAGAAGAGAAGCAGCGTGCAGGGGACACAGTGACTGAGGCCGTGATTTGTGAGAAGGCCAAGGCCTTGCACGCAGACCTCATCCGGGAACAGCCAGGAACCTCGGCCGAGCCAGAAGTCTTCAAGGCAAGCAGAGGCTGGTTTGACCGGTTCAAGGCAAGATCCGGAATCCACAGCGTGGTCAGGCATGGAGAGGCTGCCAGTTCTGATGTTCCTGCGGCTGAAGACTTTGCCTTGGAGTTCCTGGAGGTTGTGAAGACGGAGGGCTACGTTCCACAGCAGGTCTTCAACTGCGACGAGACCGGGCTGTTTTGGAAGAGGATGCCCAAAAGGACTTTCATCACTCAGGAGGAGGCCAAGTTGCCTGGCCACAAGCCCATGAAGGACCGTCTGACCCTGCTCTTCTGTGCCAACGCAAGCGGCGACCTGAAGATCAAGCCCCTGCTGGTGTACCACTCGGAGAACCCACGGGCCTTCAAGAAACACAAGGTCGACAAGGAGCGGCTGAGTGTCATGTGGCGATCCAACAGCAAGGCTTGGGTCACACGTGTGCTGTTTGTGGACTGGGTCAATCTTGCCTTTGGCCCTGCTGTCAAACAGTACCTGCTGGACAATGACCTGCCGCTGAAGGCTTTGCTTCTGATGGACAATGCTCCTGCTCATCCTAAAGGCCTTGAGGTGGACTTGTTGGAGGAGTTCAGCTTCATCAACATCATGTTCCTGCCGCCTAACACCACGCCACTGCTCCAGCCGATGGATCAGCAGGTCATCGCCAATTTCAAGAAACTCTACACCAAGGAGCTTTTCAGGCGATGCTTCGAGGTGACTGATTGCACCACCATCACCCTGCGGGAATTCTGGAAGGACCACTTCGACATCGTCACCTGCTTGAAGATGATCACCACGGCCTGGAAGGGGATCAGCCAGAGGAATTTGAATTGCGCTTGGCGCAGCCTGTGGCCGGACTGTGTGGCACCAAGTGACTCTGATGCACCAGAGTCGACAGTGGTGCAGGACATTGTTGCCTTGGGGAGGACCTTGGGCCTGGAGGTCACAGAGGAGGACGTTTGCGAGCTGGTGGAGGAGCACGACCACGAGCTGACCACCCAGGAGCTGGTTGCACTGCAGTCAGAGGTTGCGCAGGAGCAGGCCTCGCTGGAAGAGGAGGAAGCAACTGAGGAACGGCTGTCCTCCAAAGAACTGAGGGACATTTGCCAGAAGTGGAATGAGGTGCAGGCTTTTGCAGAGCGGCACCACCCTGACAAGCACGTGGCACATGACCAAGCGAACATTTTTGATACGACGGTCATGTCGCCTCTCAGGGAGCTGCTGAAACGGCGGATGAAGCAGCAGACCATGGACAGGTTCCTCAGCAAGAAGCAAAGAGTGGAAGAGGAACCTTCTTCGAGTGGTCCCCAGAGTCTTAGAAAATGTAATGTACCCTTTTTGATTTTTAAATGTTTTTCCTGTCATGTTTAGAAACTTAATTTATTGTTCCTTCAATTTTTGATATGCTCTTTAAAGTATGTGTGACTTTAAAGAGCAGTTAATAAACTCTTGTTGTACCGAATTTGGCTTTGATTGGACTTTTTTTGACCATAGGAACGCATTAATTGAATTTCAATGCATTCCTATGGGATTTCGTGCTTCGCAAGACGAAAAATTCGCTAGACGAAAAAACTCGCGGAACGAATTAATTTCGTCTTGCGAGGCACCACTGTATGTTGAGGCGAACAGTAGGGCTGGTTGATATCTGGTTTTCAACAGCAACCTGCAAGGTTTGTAGCTTCCCCATTCCTTCGTATGGGAAGATAAGAGACCTAATGTCTGTGTTTTGGCCATCACAATGACATAAACCTTAGATCAGCTCATGCCCTCAGTTCTTAGTGTCTATGAAATTGCACAAGTGTCTTGCTAGTCCTTTATTGCTGCATTGACTAAAGAGTATAATGGCATTTATCAATTATCGTGGCACTAAGAGCCATTCTGGTTTTCAGATGTGCCACCAGGATGATGCATTAAGACTTTGGGATGCTTCTGTTAGTAAGTGTTGTTTTAAAGAAAAATTATTGTGTGCATTGAAGAAGGCTCTAGCATTGCTTTGCTTCCCCTAGAGGTAATCCAATTATATCCAAAAGTACTGGGATATTTGTTGTCTGTGTCCAGACAGAACATCAGATTAAAAGATGAAGAATAGTAACAGGCTCTGAATGAAAAATGTTTGCTTCGTTATGCAGCCATAATTCCTCACCTAAGGGATTAATGCTTGGCTGGCACATGAGAATATATATCTTATTCAGATCAATGACACAGCCTGTTTACACTACTGGCTGTTTTGGGTCCCGTTCTAAGGTACAAACATCTAGGCTCGTTGAGAAAAAGAGACCATTTTATTATACCCCAATACGGCAATAGATTCCGGAGAGAGGAAAGACCTTCTCACAACATAAAGTTAATTGATGCAATCCTCTTCCACAAAGTCTGGTGATAAGAACTGGCTCTAAAAGGTGATAGGCACTTTCATGGCAGGTTGGTTTATCAACAGCTAGGTAAAGGTAAGGGGACCCCTGACCATTAGGTC